ATGAGAGGTCTCACACTACAATGCTTGTACTTAAACAAGAGCTGCACAATAGAGTTAAAACCTAACCTTCTAAAATTATCTAGTCTTAGTAATATGTAACTTAACGTATTCACTTACTAGTTAGATGAAGCTACTGAGAACTCCTAAGAAGAACAAAGCAAGCAGCATTCGAGCATCAAGTAATCAGAACCAAGCATAACCTAATCAGGCCATCCTATCACTGACTGATTAGTACTAGCATGCAAGTCTACAAGCTCATACAATATGCATACAAAGGCATATCTCCTAGCATTCTATCATGCAAATATTGAGCAGATACTTAGCCCTACCTAGCATGTGATTCATATATTCACAATTCAAATCATATCAGATAACATGTATGGGTATTTTAGGAAAACTTATTTGAGCTCGTTCGATTGCATGCACCACGCCCTTCCTTGTATTAGAAAACCCTTTTCTTAAAAATACATTTATTTTTGAAAAACATTACCAAATCCTCAGTTTAAGTTCACACACACCCGAAAGTATGTCCGAATCCCTCAAACCAAGGCTCTGATACCAACTTGTAACGTCCTAATACAAGACCCAAAAAATTTATTTTTAATTTTATAAAAATAGTAATCCAATAATTGTTATACAACCCAGAAAGACCAAAGTATGTCACTACATCATATCATATCAGAGTAAATCTCAAAATGCGGAAAAAGGTGGTGTATGCTCTGCAATCATCTCGTGCTCTTCCCTTTCGATCCGGAAATACCTGAAACATAAACTGAAAACCATAAACGTAAAGCTTAGTGAGTTCCCTAAAATACCACATACCATACATAAATAAACACATACTGGGCCCCCGCCCAACATCGGGCCTCGCCCGACATCGAGCCCTGCTCGGATTATAGATCGGTCATTCATTAGGCCTCTCCTGACATCGGGCCCCGCCCGGTACACATAATAAACATATACACATATAATCTTGCTAACACATGCGATAATCACAAAACAATAGCATACAATACAGTCATCGTGCCTCGCTCGACATCGAGCCTCGCTCGGTATACCAACACATAACCCATGCAAGAGTCACGCACTAGCATCCTATCATAATAATCATGGGCTGATATTGGTGCCTTCGACCCGCTAAACATAATAAGGAAACTCACCTCAAACTGCTGAATCTCATAGATAAATGTCTAACTGCTGGCCTACTAAAATCCCCGCTCTATAAATCACAAAATAACATCCAATTAATAATTGGATCCCGACTCACACCAAGAGTCCAAACTAGGGTAAAAGACCTTTTTACCCTTTACCCAACTTGGCCCAATCCAACTGTCCAAAAAGCCCAAATTCCAAAATAATCACCCAAAGCCCAAATATGAACCAATTTTCCAAATTGGGCCCAAATCCCTTTTGTGGGCCTTCAATCCAAAAGAGTCCAATAAAATAACATCAGCCCCAAAATAGAATTATGATGGCCCAAGACTACTAAGGTCGAACGTGGGCCCAAAACCGAGAAGCCCACAATTCTGAAGCCCACTGCTGAGTATGCAGGGGGTACTCAGCTTTTACCCTTAAGTTACTCACTCTGGGGCTTGTACATGTAGCGTACCAGCTTGTACGCCCATCGTACCCCCAGTTTAGCCAACTTCCCACATTAAGCTTTTATTCGGTTAAGACTTCAACCCAACACTCAAATCTGACTTCCTTAAGGTGGTTTATCACGTAAAGTTGGCAACTTTACATGCATGCATGGCTTAATGGGTTTCTATAGCTCAAAAGAACTTAATATAGGATCTTAACAGATGCATAAGTCCATAAACACCTCAAAGCTTGCATTTTTATGGACAAAGGGACCAAAAGAACCCTAGATCTACCATCAATCACTTCTAGAGTGAATCAAGAGGCTCAAAAATCATTCCAAGGACTCAAAAAGCACAAAATGGCATCAAAACTAGATCTAGCATCACGGATTAGCAAGATGGGAGCTGTTTACCTCACAAGGAAGGCAAATGATGAACAAATCCCAGATCCTCAAGATCCAAGCACAACTTCAAATGGTTCACTTCTTCTTCTCCTTCACAAAGCACCAACAATCACACTTTATGGCTCAAATCTCTCAAAAACTCACTAAGGTTTTGATTTTTGGACAAGAGGGGATGAAGTTTGTCTAAAAATGACCTAGTGAGGCTATCACAAGGTTTAAATAGGTTGTAATACCCTAAAAATTAGGGTTTCATACTTGCTCAAGTACGCCCAGCGTACATGGATGAGCTCTACGACCATAACAGGCTAGTACGCTAAGCGTACCTCCCAGTACGCCTAGCGTACTAGATTAAGGACCAATTTTGCAAACTTTTTAATAAGAAGAGTTAAACATTAAACTTACCAAATTCAAGTGTTACAAAATCTTTTCCTTATTAGCATCTAGGAGGCTTCTGGAAACCCTAGAAAGGCTCCTAAACCCGTCCACCCTAGGATGGTTCTAAAATTGCCTCTTTTGTTCAACCATTGAACGATTACAATTCACCCCTTGCACCTTTAATTAATTCCAATTAATCCTAAATTAATTCTACATTAATTATGATTAATAATTAATCAATTCTAATTGATTTCTCATTAATTTATTAATCATATAAATTAACAAATCAATTACTTTAACAATTGATCTTATATTAATTTATTAATCACATAATAAATTAACAAACCAACTATCTATTTTCAATTAATATATTAATCATATAATATATTAACAAATCATTTCCTCATAATTTCCAATTAGTTTATTAATCATATAATAACCTAATAAATCATCATATCTCTATAAATGTCATTCTAATCAAGTTCTAGTTATGAGGACAACCCAAAAATGACTTTGTTTTTATTTGAAAGTTTATACCAATTTAGTTATAAGCTTAGACATCTTAATCCAACATCATTTACCTTAAATAGATGTTACAGTATAAAATAGATCATTGACTTGAAAAAAGCTACTTTTTTTCTCCATCTCTTTTCTTCTCTTGAACTGTGAGTTTCTCTCGCTCACTTCCTCTCTCCGTCTTCCAATGGTTGTGTAGATTTGGGTGTTCTAAGTTATTTATCCTTTAAGGCTTATTTGGTATAAGTTCTTTAAGGCTTAAGAAGTATATAATACAAGTGAAGACTAACATCTTTTGGTGGTTTACCCTTGCTTGTTGGATATATATAGAGAGCTTCTACTTTTGAGTCTTTACCATATTCATCAACTTCCAACCTCCCGAGAGGATTCAAAGTCTTCAAAAGTTGTAGTTCTTTTTTCTTCTATGGTTGTTTTAATCTTTCTATGTATTGGAAAATGATCATTGGTGGTTATAAAATGGTTTTAATGTTATTCAAATGTTAATGTTTCCGTTGCCTAAACTCGTAGTTTTTATAAACTATTTTTGAATAAAACCCAAGAATAATCGCGTTATCAAAACTTCTACATAAATCCTTACTTTTGATCATCGAGAGTTATTATATGTTGAAAGTTATTATAGGGTTTGACGGTGACGGTGTATAGGTGATTGTTGGACATAGTGTGTTAGAGAGTTACGAAAACAAGTGACGACAATATATAAAGACACATCTGACAACTAAAAAGTTCTTGATGTGCGTGTGTAGATGGGTTGCAAAGTCAACATAAAAATTGACCGGTAACCGACCAAATAAATTTCATATTACTTACGGTGTATAGGTGATTGTTGGACATGGTGTGTTAGAGAGTTACGAAAACAAGTGACGACAAGATATAAAGACGCATCTGACAACTAAAAAGTTCTTGATATGCGTGTGTAGATAGATTGCAAAGTCAACATAAAAACTAGCTTGTAACCAACCAAATAAATTTCATATTACTTAATCTGGTTGAAAATGCAAAATGATTTCTATTACAGATAAATAATAAAGTCATTAATACCGACATAGATAATAAAATCCAATGTTATTGAGGTAATTAATCATTATTTTAGATTAACAACTTTTGTAAGTAAAACTTTTAACGTAACCAATATATTTCTTACTTATCAAATATTAAAAAAAAGAGTTCAAGATTGATAACATTAGTCATTTACGTTAATAAATTTTACCTTTGTGGATAAGATTTTTATTGTTTATTAGTTATTATTATTATTATTTTAAATAATTCCATTAACTATTTACCCCATTTGATGACATGTATTTTGGGTAAAGAAACAGAGTACTTGGGTTATGCCTGAATGGTGTACGTACTGGTGGCGCTGAAACCTATGCATTTCCTGATTTGAAAGCCACATCAAGTCATCAACTGTGTTTCTCAGATTCACTTAAACATTATTTTAGGGAAGACTATGAACTAAGAAGATCAAACTCAATCCATCTTTGGTCCAGATTTTTTTTTTCGGTTTTTAAACCTTTTCAATGAAAATTTGAATTTAAATTATTGGTTATATTTTATTTGGGCCCTCTCAATTTATTTTAAGAATAAAACGTTAAGGTGTGTTGTTAGATCATATTGATCAGATAATCAAATACTAAAAATCAATCTGTTTTATTATATTCGTTATTTTATAGAATTTAAACTATGGAAAGAAAATTTACTAATAATGGAAAAACCAAATCTTTCTAATAATATATTGTGACAATCCTATCCTTACCATTCAAAATTTATGGAATATTTTATATTGATGGAATTATGACAGTGTTTAAACTACTCAAAACTATATGATACATCAATATTACTATTTTTATGTTGATGAATTAAATAATTAAAAGGTGTAGATTATAGAATACATAATTATATACCAAAATAAATCTAACAATATGATATGAAATGATGTTTTATTTTTCCTTTTACTACCAAAAGAAGGAAATAATCAGTGGCGGCCGACCATAACTAAAAGAGCACACTTCCAAGGCTTAGCTCAGATAATGTAAACTCAACGGCCCATATTGCAAAACCGCTATTTAATCCAACGGCTGATAAATCATACGCGTCATGAAGTAGGGCTTCCCATGAATCCTTCCATAACCTCTCTCTCTTATCTCTTTTTCTCTCGAAACTCTCAGATTCGCCGTTTTCATTACACAAACCTATACGTATAACAAATATCATTTTAGACTTTCTGAATTTATTTTCAAAGAGACTGTGCTTGAAGATGCAATCAGCTACTAACGGTGGTGGCTCTGATCCGCAGCAACAAACCCAGAACAGTACTCAGCCTGCGGTGGTGGCGACGACAACGACGACAGCGGCGGCTCCACCGGTTGTAGGGGTTGGGCCACAACAGCAACAGTGGGTGGCGATGCAGTACCCAGCGGCGGCGATGGTAATGCAGCACCAAATGATGGCGCCGTCTCCGGGGCATTACTCGATGGCCCCACACTACGTACCCTACCATCCCCACCACCTCCACCATCCGGTGGCACAACAGCCGCAGCAGGGATCAGGTGGCGGCGGCGGAGAGAACAGAACGATCTGGGTCGGTGACCTTCATAATTGGATGGATGAGGATTACCTTCGTAACTGCTTTGCTTCCACCGGCGAGGTATTTAATTAATTAATTCAATCTTTTATTTACATTACTTTTCGATTTCTTCGCACATGGTTTTATCATGTGCTAAATGTGATCTATTGTTAATTAAAGATGTCTGATTTTGTTATTTGTGGAACTGAAGCAATCTATTTATTGTCCAAATCTTGTTAAAGATAATTCAAATCTCCAATCTTTAGTTATAATCAAATATTAATTAATCGACCTTTCAATTTACGTTGTAATAATCTTCATTTCATTCATATACATTAATGACCACCATCTTCACCGCCGGTGACTGTGGATACTGCCGCCTTTGGTGCCGGTGTCGGTATACATGACCATCTATGATATTGTACACCTGTCTCACTGTCTGTGGACAAGTTAATATAAATGTCACCATTAATGATAATAAGCAAATGCATCAATGATGTTTTAAACCATATCTTAAAGCATTAATGAGGTAAATCCATTTAACTGATGCTTTACTACTTGATACTTTTAAAATGTTTTGTTATCTTGGTTAATTTATATAATTTGCAGGTTGCTTCAATCAAAGTGATTAGAAATAAGCAGACAGGTTTCTCAGAGGGATATGGATTTGTGGAGTTTTTTTCACATAGTGCAGCGGAAAAGGTTTTGCAGAGTTATACATGCCTTGCTATGCCGAATACAGAACAACTACAACTATTCCGATTGAACTGGGCGACATTTAGCATGGGAGATAAGCGGTCAAACAATGGTTCTGATCTTTCAATATTTGTAGGAGATTTAGCTGCGGATGTAACTGATACTTTATTGCATGAAACTTTTGCTAATAAATATCCATCGGTTAAAGCTGCGAAAGTGGTCATAGATGCAAACACTGGTAGATCCAAAGGGTATGGTTTTGTAAGGTTTGGAGATGATAGCGAGAGGACTCAAGCCATGACTGAAATGAATGGGACATACTGTTCAAGTAGGCCCATGCGTATTGGTGCTGCTACCCCACGAAAATCGTCTGGTTATCAACAACAATATGGCTCACAAGGTACATTTTTATTCAATTTAGGCTTTTTTTTTGGGTATTAAGTGTTAGGTGGATAGACTACAGTGTTGAATAAATTATGTTTAAAAATATCTAAAGAAGTGATGACGCATATACTTGGTGAAATAGACGAAAAAATAAATGAAGAAAAAATTTGTACACTCACGACTTAACGCGAAAACCTGGTTTTCTAGACGTTATGCATTCATTAAAAAGAAACTGGTTTAAGCTTTGTCCCAATTAAATAAAAAATAAACTATACCTTAGCCAAGTTTCTTATTGAATACTGGACGAAAGAGACATTTAATGTATTCAGAAACATTTGTTTAGGAAACGAGCCTCGTTGTACCAAGGTCTTCGTTTATCCTTAATTTGTTGAATTTTTCGATGTGTCATACTCAGTTTAAACCATTTTTATAGTATGCAAACCAAATGTAGCTCAGTTAGAATTTATTTGCTTGTTTCTTAGGTGGTTATATGTCAAATGGTGGCTCTCAATCTGATGGAGATTCTAATAATACAACGGTCAGTACGTATGGTCTTAATTTTTTTTGTCTGGGCCCGTTTGTTATGTTAGATATGATATTTGACTGCGACCATAATGACTGGCCTCAATGTGGTGGACCATGTACAAGATTCAGTGCAAAAGACATAAATGCCCTTGAAATGAAGGTCTCTTATATGGTTTTACTTTCGGCTAATTACTCTTGGATTGGTTGTAGATTTTTGTTGGAGGGCTTGACCCTACTGTAAGCGATGAGGATCTTAGGCAGCCTTTCTCCCAGTATGGTGACATAGTTTCAGTTAAAATACCCATTGGAAAAGGATGCGGGTTTGTACAATTCGCCAACAGGTACGTATGTCTTTCTGCTTTAAAATATCTTCAAATCATTAGCAAGATTCTTTAATAAAGTAACCAACTTGTGAATGAAAGATCGCTGGTTTGATTAACCAAGATTTATGATTATTAAAAGAGTTGTATAGATTTGTTTTGGCTGCCCTTTTGACATGTATTTGCAGAAATAATGCGGAGGAGGCACTGCAGAAACTAAATGGCACAACAATTGGGAAGCAAACTGTGCGACTTTCTTGGGGACGTAACCCTGCAAATAAGCAGGTATTAATTTCTTTTATATAACGATTAAAAGTCCATTTTATATAACGATTATAATTCAAGTTTATGTTTCTTGGTGCTTTGTTGAATTCATATGTATATATTCACACGTATCTCTGATTTATGATCGTTTGTAGATGAGAAATGAGTTTGGGAACCAGTGGGCGGGAGCATATTATGGGGGGCACATGTATGATGGATACGAGTATGCCATGACACCACCTCATGACCCGGGAATGTATGCTGCAGCATATGGGGCTTATCCGATGTATGGCATTCATCAACAACAAGTAAGCTAATCGAGGATTCTGGATAGCATCAATTAAAAATGGACACAAAATTGTGTTCCATTTACATCTTTGTAGTGTCTCTCTTGGGAGTGTAGAATGCGCCCAATTCTCTCCTCCCTCTGAATGTGGAGTGGTGGTTGAATTTTGACTACATGAGGTAGTGTTTTGTAGGGTTTTCGGTGAACATGTGGTTCTTTTCGCATGTATGGGATTTTAACTGTAAGACTCGCGGTAATCTTAATAAACTAAATCACAAAAGCTTATATGGTAGCTTGTTAATTTATTCTTCCATCTAATCGAACATTGAAGTTTGATTTTGGAAATGGCCAACTCCTCAAGATGGCATTTCTTGAAGTTTGACTTTGAATCGATTAATATATCCAAGGATTTATATATGCCTTGAGTATATGAATTGCTGTATGATGGTTTTAAAATAAGTTGCTTTGTGATCCTTTACCTCATCACGTCATCTTTAAGGTTTGTGTTTGTTATCAGAAAGAGAATTGGCCATTAGAAACCTTTTTAGGACCATTTTTGATGATGACCATGAGAACTACATTCATGTCTTTTGCACATATAAAATATTAAACTCGAGTCTTTGTCCCATTTTTTTTCGGTCGATTTTTCTTAAATATTTTTGTCTTGTTGACATCAACCTTAGAAAGCTTATTTCATAATATTTTTTTTTAGAATCTCAATAATCTTATAATATTATTTCCCCCCGCGACAATCAAGAGCATTTTTCAAAAAGCTAATGATTTAGTTGAAGTTGGGCGAGCTAGTTCTAACAAAGGAATGAAGAAGGAAGATTAGGGGAATTAGGTATATCATGAAAAGAAAAAAAAAGGTGAGATAAGGTTAAGAAACTCAATTAAATGTTTGAGATGAATCAATGATAGACAAAAGAAATATACTTAACATCATACAAACCAATTTATCAATTTTATGACTCACTAAGTTACTTGAAAAAGTAATTGAAAATATTTTCAATAGTTCAAAAAACATATAAAATGACGAATCATGTAATAAAGATCAAGTATCCAAGACCCAACAAGCTAGAGATAGGAAACACAAATTCCATACACACAATTGGAAACTTGCAAAACATTTCTTGTCATAAGTGTCACTAACTTGTAAGTCATCACCATTCTTTATGCTGGAGTGAATAGTAACACTCCTAGCACATTGTCTTGTAGGTTTTTTTATTGTCATATAAGCTCAACATGTATGCATTGAAAATATAGGGAGTGGTAGTGTGAGATTTTATAGGTTTTATTTGAAAAAAAAATTAAAAAAGAAAATAAAATAGCAAGAGGCAATCACATCCCAAGATTCAACCTTCTCTCTCCTTTCTCTTGTCGCTACACTGGTGGCGCGTGGAAGCTAGCGAGCCCCTTGGTGGCGCGCCCTAGTGACGAGTTTGGCGACCCCCACTCCTTGAGGCCTTACAACTCATAATCAAACTTATTATTACAACACTTAACACTTTCATCTAGTGGCTCCTTCTTGAATATCAACTTTTATTCTTACCTTGTCCAACATCACAGAGTTTAATTAGAACAATCAAGCCAAAGGAAAATGAAATTATTTGATACCATTAGGTAGCAATATTATTTTAAAATTTTCAAAAGAAGCAAACGTGAAACGTGTAAGAATACTTTACTACTCTATTATTTGTATTTCAACTTTGTAACATATTTTTTCCCTAGGTTTGTGCTATCTAATAAAATTTATTGATATTCTAGAACAAAAATCATAGACTCTAGCATTCATATAACATGTGGAGAGACATAAGAGCTTAGTGAAATTTAGGTGGCAAAGTTTTCGCTCTAATTCATGAAAATGATTATGAGGAATCACTTTTGCTGGTAGATTTTAAAGATCTGATGAAGATCATTATGGATATTGCTTGTATTAATTGCATTCTCAAATTCACAATATGATTACGACATCCATCTTTATATTTCGAATTGTGAGAAATGACAATGAATTGTTTGAAATTTCAAAGACTTATAGTTATAAGTTATGAAATGGTTTAACACACACATATGTTATTCAATGAAGGTGTATAAGCTTAAGAAGTCTAGTTGGAAACTTATCGAAGTACCGCGTAACATAAATCTGTACTTCAGTAAGTAATTAAAGAGTATTGATTTCTAGAAGTCTAATTGATTTATGGTTACATGTCAGAGCTAATGGGAGCATAATTGTTATGCTACTATTGCATGTTGGCAATATTGTTCGTAGGGAACAAAGTTTGGTAATTGTTTCACTATGATAGACTTAAGAGAGAGGGCACTGATACTTTTTTTTTCGAATCTAAAGGATTAGATCATGTAGTTTAATAGAACTTAGTCATAGACATATGTGAATATCATGTTGAAATGGTTAGACATAGGAAATTTTGATGAGTTTTAGACATTACAAAACAAACTTAAAACTCTTAAGTGTGCATGCTAAAACAAGATCTATGTTTTCACTATTGAACCTATAACTATGAACATCAAAATAAGAACCCTAGAAACCCTAGGTTATTTTCGAAATCACAAAAAAGGGTTTAGGATTAAATATCTTATTGTTATTATAGCAAATAACAATGATCCTTGTTTTCTTGAAGCTTTGGAAGCAAGCACCACAATCGTCGTGCCTCTAATGGTTCACACCCACGCAGCAAAAAGGATATTGAGGAGAGATGAGGGAGGAGGTAAGAAATTCGACCAACCCTTGGGGAAATTATAAGTGCCAAAAATCAAAGGCCTAGGGGCCTTTATATAGTGCGGGAAGGAAGCACTGTATAACCCTAATCTAAATATAATAATAATATTTCAAATTGGTAATTATCGAGCTTCATATTTATCCACACGTGATATTCTATAAACCCTATAATATCCCTTAGAAACCGTCTAAGCCTCTAGGAAGGTTCTAGAGTGCCTCTAGTTCAACTATTGAACAATTACACTTTAACCCCTACACTTTTAATTAATTCTTTTGATCCCAAAACTAATTCCAATTAATTTCTGATTAAATATTAATTAAATATTATTTATAATTAATAGATTATTCTCATAATATATTAATAAACTATTTATTTTAATTTATTAATCAAATAATAAATCAACCTCTCTCTCCAAAAATCATCATGTCCAATTGCTAGGTTTGAGGGCAACCCAAAAGGACTATGTTACTATCAATCAAGTTTATACCAATTATAGTTATGGGCTTAGATACCTAATCCAACATTATCCCACTTGGATAAGTCTGTAACTATAATTGAACTAGGGATGTCAAAAACCCCCGTGGGACCCCGCTCCCGTGGGACCCCGATACCGTACGAGACTAAATTTAAAAAAAAAACCGGGAGCAGGAGCGGGGGCGGGGGCAGAATTAAACCCCGTTTATTTTCAGGACCGGGGTCGGGAGTCGGTATTTCCGTTCCGTACTCCCGCGGGGGCCCCGGTTGTACATTTATGTAAAAAATATATATTTAATATAAAATACATATACAAAATAGATTTTCTAATTTTAGGTTTAGTGTAGGTTTCACTTTCCCGTTTCCAATTAATGGATGTTGAAGATGTAGCGAATTGATTATATATTTTTGGACATGTAAGTATTTTATATTTGTAATGTTGGATTTGTCGTATTTTATATTTGTAAGATTGTTGGAATTGTCGTTTTGTAATGTTGGATTTTTAATTTTTTTAGTTTCTAAAAGATTAGGTTTTAAGCTTTTAAAGTTATTAAAAATAGTTTTTTTTAGCCTAAAACAAAGCAGTTTTTTAGCAAAAAAATCGAATTTTAAGCCTATAAACCGGGGGACCGGGGGCGGGTCCGGAAGCTATGTAAACGGGGGATCCGGGGGCGGGGGAAACAACTGATTTCTGGAGCGGGGGAGGGGGCAGCTATTTCCACTCCCGTTTGATCTCGTTGACATCCCTAAATTGAACACATGAATGTAGGCGTTCGACCCACGAGTATAGTGAGGAGACTCACCTCAATCTGAAGATAACCGAATCACACACGCGCTGCTGCTACAAAGGCTCCTCACACTAAACATATCTAAAAATAATACCTACTCAATGATTAGGGTAATAACCCACACTCAAAGGTTCAATACTTATTCTATCTTACTAAGGGTAAAATACCATTTTACCCTTCCCACACCTGACCCAATAAATCATGGCCCAAAACCTAATATGACCTAAGGCCCAAAATGAACCAAATGGCCTTTTGGTGAGTACGCCCAACATACCACCCCACTACGCCCAGCGTACTGTGCTTCAACAGAAAGAGAACTCGGGCTGAACCTGTTATGCTCAGCGTACGAGGAGGGTAAGCCCAACGTACTCCGCTGCTGCCCAAACTGAACATTAAGCTCTTAATGCTAAAAGACCTTTTGCCTAATTCACAAATCTGACTCTAAGGGATGTCTTAAGTCATAAAGTCTAACGCCCGAGTTTCGGGGCTAAGCATTAATAGATGATGTAATAGTCTAGGTCAACTATTGTAACTCTTTTTGAAGTAATAAAGATGAATTATTTGAGTATTGTGTGAATTATGTGCATTTATGTGCTTTATACTTAATTATAAAGATATAATTAATAAAGGATAAAAATAAGCGTCAAAATTAAAGTGTGATATATAAGCCCGATATCTTTACATAAAGTTGTAGTGGTCAAAACAAGGATTTCGGGGATATAAAGAACGCCAAAATCCGAGTTATAACGAAGAAGTTATGACCCGTCAAAGTTTCGCGACGGAACCGGCATGGCACTGGGAACCGTAAATAGCGAATTTGCGATAGAGGACTTTTTGACCTTAGTAATCTAAACGAAAGTTGTAGAATATGTCAAACCCAGAACATCCATAAAGAGAACGCCCAAATCTGAGTTCGTATGAGGAAGTTGTGATTTTTCTAAGATTCGGCTTAGCAGTGCACGACCCGAAACTCGAATTTTAGTTTGAGCGGTTTTTGGCTTACGTGAACTAAATGAGAGTTGAAGATCTCATTAATAGGAACTCAACGGTAAAAAGACAGACGAAAACGGAGTTCGTATGAAGGAGTTACGAATTCTTCGCGGTCATTTAACAGTCTAATCTCCTCCTACTGTTAAATTTATGAT